TTATTTGATTTTTTAGATATTTTCTACACTAACACTTCTATCTTCATAGTGCTTAGATGATGCATTTTAATATAATGGGTAACTCTATCTTTTTAAGTTATATGTGAGACTTTGTCACACGTGTTAACACATTTTACTCTACACTTATGTTTCAAAAATATTATGGTACATTATTACATCATAAAAATGTATCTTAAGGGTGTAACTCTTTAGATTGATTATTAGTCATAGGATTATATCAAGCATCATAAATATATATATTTTGAATAGTTATCAAGGAGATTCACTTGTGATGTGAATTATCATGATATATATTAATGATTCAATTAGTATTTAATGAATCATTCAAAAAAAATCATAAATATTTTTTCTAATATAAGTGTTAAAACAAAAGGCATCAACATACATATCAAAGTTGAAAGATTTAGAGCTCAAAATTTTTGTGGAAGATTTAAAGTAAGAATAAGTTTTTTTAATTTTTTTTATTAGTAAATATTTTTTTAAAAATTTAATATTGAGGCTGACCATCATCCATATAGACAACTTGGATACATCACAATTTAAATTTACTACTTATTTTGAGTTTGGTTTATAAATATTTAAAATTTGATCATTTTGACAATAATGACCAAAGTGATATCAAGAAAAATAATAAGAGTTAATTCTTTTGTATTGTCAATATTTGAATCTAGAAATACTAATTTCCTTGTTATACTCTTTTGTAGACGTAAGCAACTGTATTGGGTGTAAGAAAAAAAATTACTTCTTATAATATAAGAGATGAAGTTAAATGAAAAACGTTCAATACAATTTTAGATCATGAGAAATTATTTTCATTGAATGCAAAACTATTTATTTCAACATAAATATTCAATTTTAAGCATCAAACTAGGATTGTACACAAAAAAATACACTTTCTTCTGATGACATGTTAAAACTTTATGCCAACTCAATAGAAACTAGAGAAAATAAGGATAATTTTTCATTCCACAAAAGTTTATGTTCACTTTGTTGGAGTTAAGATTGCACTTAGGTCAAGGGAGGGGCCTATTTGAATTGATGAGCTTCTAATTCTGAATTAGGTCAACATTCTCAAAGGTTTTCAATCTCTTTATTCAAATCTTGAGTCTTCTAATTTTCATATATAAATAATTATGAACTATTGTGATCTTGAGAGAATTTATTAACTCATTACTGTTGTAAGAATAATAAAAAATGGAAACATTTTAAGTTTAGTGTGCTATTTATTGCATTATGTTCTATTTCATTTAACATTCCAATGAGTGGTCTGATATCATATATGTGTGATGGCTTGTTCAATATAAAATAATTTTAGGTAAGTTGAAGTATAAATATTTGCATATGTACCTTTGAGCGAAATTCACCTAATGTAAATTGTATTAATTCACAACGTTAAAATAATAAAAAAATATCATTCATCTATTTCTAGATTAACCTTGACATCATCAAAATATTTAAAGCTCTTCACTGCCACTAAATAGAAATATGTCTTAGTAGATAAAGTAATAAAAAAATAAAGAAAAAATATTTGCTTAAGACCAAGGGTCTCATGCTTTAATTTTGCCAACATTTGTGGCCCTTCAATCGTTTCTGGATATGGAAGAGTTTGAAGCAGCTTCTAGCTTGAAGGCTCTTAAACCTTTTGGTTGTCCTCTATGGCCAAAGTCTCAATCTACATTTATCTTAGAGTAGTAATGGAAGCTGAAAATTTGAGAACTATTATGGTATCATGGTTTATTATGCAAGTTGGCAATTTACATGTTTTTGTCCTTGAAGGTTCTCAACACCATTTTGGCCCTCCATCTTGGGCTTCATTCAATGAAGTAAAGTACCAAAGAGGAGAAAATTATATGTAGGGGGGATAAATGGTCAACATGTACAAACATGTATGAAAGAGAAAAAATAGTAGAAGGATTTATTTATTTTTAACATGGCTCAACACTGCACTTGTAAGCCATAAAGAAGAGAGAATGAAATATAAAATTACATCTACTTGACTTATTCTAGAGTTTCTCTTTAGTAGATACGACATATATCCATATAAAGTTTGAATGGGGTCAAATTTAAAGTTCATCAGATCAGCCAAGGTGTTTGACGAGAGTAAACAAGTTTCCCTTTTCAGTATTAATTTTTAAAAATTTCGTTTTCAATTATCTTGTTAAATATCCCATGCACTATAGAGAGGTGTTCTTGCTATTGAGTTACGTTACATACTTTATTTCTCCACTAAAATGGGGTTACAATGACCGTGAACACATATATAATGGACATGCTGATGAACTTGAAATCGTCTATATTCATCTAAAATCCTTAATGGTGGTAGTTTGTTTACTAGAGACAAGCTTTTTTATATGCTTAATATAGTAGGAGGCTCTTGAGATTCATGATAGTAAGTTGTTGGATTCCATAGCCATAGGTTTTAAAGATTGCAAAGCTTATTGAAATCTACTCCGCCATTTTTCATCTATCGTTCCTTGTCTTTTTCACCACCACAGATTTATCTCTCCCTCTTTCTTTGCTCTCCTTGAACCTAATATTGAGGGATGCTTATGTAACTTTGAAATTTCACAAATTCGGAGCTTTGTTATACAACTGTGTGCTTGCAAAATCAGAAGAACTATTCTGTCACAAAATTTCCATTCATTTATATTTTATAAATTGTATGTTTCGATGTAAGTTCCTTTGAACTCCCTAAAATCAATTGGCAGCCTCATCATTAACCGGAGATAATTCAGGCGTGTTCATTACGTTTCACGACAGAGGCTCTCAAGAACTAGCATTAAATCATTTGCTCCTTGACATAAATCCCAGGTGGAATGTGAACGAGTGATCGAGTAAGATTGTGACGGGAAGATGGCTTTTGATTCCCAAACTTTCAGGGAGACTTGGAGGCGTTAGGGGCCCCTACTCAATCCAGATCTTCACAAAACCTGTGAAATGGGCTTCTCGGGTGGAACAAACCCAGCCCGACCCAACACTTCCACCGCAGGAAAGGGGAAATGCCGCAGTCTGGATCCGCAAAAAGGGATATCATTGTACATGGGAATTTTGTTGGGGGCTTTTAACGTCCTTAGGCATTGTACCTCTAAGCGTGGAAGCCCTAAATTCAGCGTCGCTCCTCTGCCTGCGCCGCCATGTCTCCGCCCCGATATCTTCTTTCCCTCTTCTCGTGGATCTACTCCCTCTACATAAGCACCTCGCCGGCCATTGGCCCTTTCTCAATAAGCTGACGCTGGCTTCCCTCTGCTATCCGAGCCCTGCGGCGGCGGTAGTCGGCCCAGCCGCATACGGAAGGACATCTCGCTCAACGCCGCAATGTTCCTTTGCTCTGTCGAACTCGCCAACCAGTTGGCGCTTTTTTATGGTTTCCGGGTCTCGCTCTGTGTATTTGCTCTAACGCACTTTTATCCCCTCAAGTGTTCGTGATTCTCTCCTATTTTCCGCTTTTTTCTGCGAAATCTCTCTGGTTCTTCGAGCGGCTGATCTCGGAGATTGTGGGTTGATCTTCGCATGTTACGTGAGATCGGCGGGCACCGCGTGATGAGGAAAACTGCAACAAAATGACGTCTTACGATGATTTCTAATATTTAAGTCTCTGATGGTCTTCCGCCCACCATCTCTTACCCGGTGATCTTCACTTGGCTAAGCTTCCGGCGACGGCTTCTTCGTGTGTTTTCTGTCCTCGCGAATGGCCGGCTATGCACCTGATGATAAAACAGACAGGGACATCTGCACCCTCAAAAAGGGGTTGATGACTCGTCTTCAATGGGAATCTCTCTGATGCATTTGGCGGCCCCATTCAGGACAACCCGTCTCCCTGGTCATCGCTTTCGCCACTATTTCTTCATATCGATGCAAGGTTTTCTCCGGGGAAGCTCAGATTTGGGTTGACTCTGCAGGGAAATCGCCCATGATGCGGCTAGTTACATGTGCACGTATTACCAGATTTTCGTATGACGAGTCACGGAACCCCTGAGGCGAAACCCTCATTGCTGTCCGGTTGTTCTTCGCATCATGTCGGATCTCTCTTGCGAGATGCAATCTTCTCCCGCCCTCTTCCATTGCAGTTTTCTCAACGCACTTGGTAAATCGGTAGCCTTCTCTCTGGATCGATGATGAACTCTGAAAAATCTACTGCGTTATCTTTCTGAATGGCAGCGCCCAGCGGTGCGTCTGGTGGAGAAGTTTATCTTCTGAGGTCCTCGGCAAATATGCTCTGATATTCTTGCTTGGTGGTTTTTGGATTGTATGGGGAAGCCTGATGATTGTGTGCAAGAACGGAGATTCGAAGGCCGGGTGCCTCTGTCGAAGCTTGGCCGAGCTCGGCCGGGCTCCGGAAGGCAAGGCGCGTGTGATCAAACCGCTCGCAGCAGATGAAGGCTTCTCCTGCAGAACTACATTAACGGCGGATGGGACCGACCGTGTGAGAGATTTCAAATTTATTAGCTTATCTTTATAAAAAAAACGCACCATTTCGTTGTTATTTTCGACCGATTTTTCTCGTCTGACGAACCTTGACGATGGCAATGGGAAATGGTATGATCGCGATGGTCGGAGTCGTCTGGTTATTTTGCAGTCTGATACATTGTACTGACAAAGCACATCTGGGCTGGCTGTAATGGAGGAATTATTTTATCGAATATGCATACATGTGCATCTGTTCATCGCCTGTCCATCAACTGTGTTCTACGCCCGTGAGGCAGAGAGAGGGAGGGGATAGACTCGGTCATAGTGGGTCGCTGTCGAAAATAAAGTCTGCGCCGCTATTTGTGTGGTCGTAATGGGTTCTAAATAGGGCAACCGTTGGGCGACGAGGAGCGGCAAGGCGGTGTGGGAATACATACTCGTCGACAGTTGTCCAATTCCCTTCGAACTGCCTTTTCCCCTCTTCGGAGTCGCCGAAGAGGGAGTTTCAGCAGAGTCGCGTACAGGGGGTGGGAAGGTCGGAGCCAGTCGTCCTACCACCGCGAGCGGCGGTGATGGCGGGGTTGCTCGATCTGGAGAAGCACTACGCCTTCTACGGGGCATACCACGGCAACCCCGTGAACGTCTTGATCCACGTCCTTTTCGTCTGGCCAATCTTCTTCTCCGCCCTCCTGCTCTTCTACTTCACCCCTCCCTTCTTCCACGTCGCCAAACCCCTCGGCCTTCCCCTCGTCTTCAACTTCGGCTCCGTCGTCGCCGCCTTCTACGCTCTCTTCTATCTCCTCCTGGAAAGAAAGGCCGGCTCCCTCGCCGCTCTCCTCTGTATCCTCTGCTGGGTCGGCAGCAGCATCCTCGGCAGCCACCTCGGCTTCTCCCTCGGCTGGAAGGTATGCTATCCTCCATGGCCGCCGTTTCAACCTCCTTTCTCCCTCGGTCCTGCATGTTGCTGGGTTCCCTTTCCCTCCACACGACGCAATAGCGACCTTCAATCCGCTCGTCTCTTTTCCTTCAGAGACTGGAATTATGGAATTTACCAAGCGATAATTTCCTACGCTATCAGCGTGAGCTTTCTTACGTTAATTGCCGTGAATTAGTCATTTCTGACTTGGATGTTCTTCCATAAAGATTATCTATCACCAATCTCGAGTAGATTTCTTCGTGTAAGATGGTCGAGGCCCCATTGAGAGCGCAACTTTGTTGATTTTTCTTCATCACCGAGTGGCACGCTGTTGTTCAGCAAGTAAACTACCTTGGGAAACGGCGGACTTGGATGAAACCTCTGCTCTGGTCGGGAATGATCTCCGTGATGAGCTCGAGGGTGCAGCTTAGGATGATTTCCTCTGTGTCGCCGAATCGAGCCGTCTTGTTCTTGACATACCCATGCTCGTTTACGCTCAAATGGCCGAACCTTCGTGTCGACCTCGAGTGTCCCCGTGCAATTTCTACTTCACGCGTTGACTTTCATCTGCAGTTGGGCCTAGTCGTTCAGCTCTTCTGTTGGACCGGACAGTTCATCGGCCACGGAGTCTTTGAGGTGAGTCTTTTACCATAAGTCGATGGGTTCGAGCCCACACGGATGACGGTGTGGGTCGTCCTGAACACTCTTCTTTTGGGGCATCCTCCGCAGGGCCGAGCTCCTGCGATTCTTGACAACCTCTTCCAGGCGTTAGTCACGGGTCCCCTCTTCGTCCTTCTAGAGGTAGTTGACTTTGACCATTCTGGCGGCGGTCGGTCCTAGGTGTCGACTTACTCTCTCTCTCGCTCTCTCTCTCTCTCCTCTCTCCGCGCAGGTGCTGGACAGGTTCTTCGGATACGAGCCGTACCCCGGTTTTCTCGCCAGGGTCAATGCCAGGATAGAGGCGGAGAGAAAAGAATGGCAGGCCAGCAAGCGGAATAAGAGCTCTTGAACGAGGACTGTGCATGCATGGATGCTCACCTCTTTGGGTCTCTTTCCTTTGTTCCTGTTCCCGGCATGGCATGGGTTTCGAACGCGCATTGATGAATGAATGTTCACTCATCAACTATACTTCTAAGTTCTCCCCATCTTATTGTTCTCTGAGTATGTACTCGTGCATATACATGCGTACTGGGTTTAGCAGATTTCGTGATAAAATTTCGATGGGAGTAAGGTGTTGATGGTTGCTTTGGACATGAAATGTGTTGAGATGAGGAGGAGCACAATTGGTAGTTACATTATCTGCAGTCCACTGAATCTCGAGATGCTCTACGAACCGGTAGTAGACTTCACTGAGATGGATAAACCAATGTGCTATCTCGCCATGGACTCCCGTCACTCTCCCTCTTTCTCTCTCTCGCTCTCCAACTTAAATCATGGTGCATCTTCTTTTGTGCTTTCTAAATTTAATTTATTTTTCCATATCCGTACATTTGTTCCCGATTCCTTTGGCACGCCCATACGAACGGGTAACATGTTTAGTGAGTTGATTTCCGCTGCAGAAATTCCTACTTTTTTGTTATCACAACACCTTGAAGTTAAGAAAAAGAAAAAGACGGAATCTGTTGGCTCATAGTAGCCCATGAACTCTCTTTTTATCAATTATTATAGGAGGCCACATAACTTTTCTCTTAGCTTCTTTAGCTTTTTATTTGAGCTTGAAAACAAATCTCAAGGGCCCCCCTCAGTAAGAACCATCTGATCATCTCTCCTTTAACAGAAAATTGGTAGCTGCTAGAAAATATGTTTCTGTGGCCATACGCACATGAGAACACATTTCAAAAAGAAGATCATGCTGACAGACCTAGATCTGTACATCGAATTTACAAATCACTCTTTGGAGAGAAAACACAAAAAATCATGCTCCCATGAGTGTAATAAATTTGAATATCAGATTAGGTTGAGCAATCACTGTTGAGATAATAAATCCACTTTATGAACAAAATAGAATGAGATATGCATGACAAACCACACTCTCTAATTCCTCTCAACAGCTTGTTAAGCCATAAATATGATTTCATTGGTTGAGAACAACATTCTAATCTCGTAAAATGAAACGAGAACGAGAATTTGCATGAACTTGGCCAACAATTGGGAAACCAACACTCTTGAACAAAAGTGGCCAAGTTATTCATGTGCTTTCTTTAAAAATCGTCAATCGAAGTTAGCAAATAACTTGCATTACTTTTAGAAGTGGCTAGAGCATGCAAAAGGTCAGAGCAGATGTAATTTGCAACTTTTATTTTGATGAACTATTGCATTAAATCTTAGTTTATAATATTTTCCAAACACATAGAGGTAACCAAAATTTAGTTGACCACACAATTGATCAGCAAGTAGACTGCACTTAGCTCTATCATAGCTCTTTCACTCACCGAATGATTGGATATGATCATTTGAACTTCATGCCAAATGGACAACGTCCATCAGATTCTCACGTTTTAATTAATATAGGCCACGAATCAACTTTATCTTCATTACAATTAATGCACCTCTAAACCTTCAAGATTTCATTGTTGATTAAGAATCAATATATTTCTATGGCCAAAATACTAAAAGAGACCCCAGTTTTCTTTTAGTTTCGAGATGTATAGTACATCTCAAATATTTGTAGTTTGATTGTACCGACCCTTAGAACTGTAAAAGTTATATATTCTTTTTAAGTGACTTTACCGCTACCTACTGATGTGTATGTAGAAAATTAATCTCTATAAAGACAGTGGAAGGTACAAGTAGAGTTAATAATTTAGTTATTTCTTGAAGTATTATATAAATACAGTTTAAATTTACTTGCATGGGTTAGTCTTTTAGAAATACACTATTGATATTCTAGTTGAGTTGAATGTTAAGTTTTCTCCTAATGATGACACTTCATTAGAGGACCCCACTCACTATCTAGAGATTGTTGACTTGGTAACATACTTCACTGTTACTCACCTTGATATTCAATTTACAGTACATGTGGCCAATTAATTTAGCTTCTTTTTTTTTGTTCATTGGGTTGATATATCATATATCTTTCATTTATCTCCACAATGTATGGTCTTGTAGACCTTTGTCTCCTTAAACCTCGACATTGGATTGGTGATATTACTAATTTGAAATCTACAAGTCATTAGTATATTTTTTGGTAACCCACTCATTTCATTAAATAATAAGACAGAAACTTATTGCTTGCTCCACCACTGAATAGTAATATCGTTGCACAGCCTCCATCACAAGTGAAATTGTTTAGCTACATTGGCTTATTATTGGCGTAGATGTTCCTCAAGAGGGTCCCACACTTCTTTATTATGACAACAAAATCGGCATCTAGATTGGACATCGCTTTATTTTTCATGAACATACCGAACACATTTGCATGGATTACCATTTTATTCAGCAACATTTAAAGGCACCTTTACCCTTCCATATGTTTAGTCCTAATTGCAGCTTTTCAACTCATTTATGAAAACACATATTATTACCTGTTTCTGGTTTATCTTGGAAAAACTCTCAACGTTTGCTCCATCATGAGTTCAAGGGGGGTTATTAAATTTAATATTAATATATAAGGTCTCATGTTATTTTTTGGCCGCTATTCTTTGATCATTATAACATTGTTTATAAATGGTTATTGAAGACTTGTCCTAGTTCGGCCTTTATTTATCTATTTATTTATTTACTTATTATCAATTTAGAAATCAGAGCTTCCAGATACGTAAATATTTTAATGCTCTGATTCCTAATTTGATAACAAGAAAAAATATATATAAAGAAGAAATAAAGGCCATACTTGGCCATGCCTCTTGTACTACCCTGAATAAAACATCTTGGCAAGAGCAAAACCCTGACTGAGGACAAGAGCATCAAATTGTTATCAGCCTTTCTTTCTTTCTTTATTTCTCTCTCCATCTTTTTTTTCCCTCTTATCAATTTGGAAGTCATAGCTTCAGGATATGTAAATATTTTAATGCTCTGATTTACGCAAGAATATCTTATTATACCTCGTTCATTGTGAATGATCTTTATTTTAATGGCCTAAGACTTTCACGTGAAGAGCAAGGAGGTGAGCAGTTGCAAACCAACAAAATGAGTGAGTGAGAAAAGCGTTATTTCTTTTGTGTGAGATTTTAATTTGGAAGTGTAGGTTAATCCCGTCGTTAGGCAGCCGATTTGTGGACCCACATCACTTTCACCACCACCCTCTCATATACTTCATATAATAAAGGGGGAGGGGCCGTGGGTTAGAGAAAACTCAGGGCTGCTCTCTCCCCTCTATCTTTTCTCTCTACCTCTCTCTATGTTCTATGCTCCACTCCCCTTGCTATCTCAATTTCAATCCCTCAACTTCTCCCCTAGCTTCTCTCTGATCTGATTCACGCTTTCTAATGGCCTTGACAATCTTACGAGCGCTTGGTTTATGTATTTCTTCGTCGCTTGTCTCTTAAACTGAAATACTATTGAAATAAATATGCTATTCATGTTTATAAAGACTGTATGAATGTATTTCCTATCTAAGATTAATAATTTTAGAGCTACAAAAATTTATGATCTGTTTGCCACGGTTCATGAGAGAAGTTCAGATCAGCACCAGGAGAGTGGAGGCGGTTCCAATATGGCATATCTGTGTTACTCCCTAAAGAGGCCACCTACTTGGAGGTCTCTGCATGGCTCTCCTCTGACCATGAGCTTCCGCATTTCTCGGGCCGCCTTCTGAAGGCACAGAGAAACGCCATAGCTGACCAGAGAACTGGATGAAGGAAGTCGTCGTAAAAGTTCCACTGGGATGGGAAACTCTCGAAGGAGATGATTGGTGACGACTACGACGTCTCCCCCAACCCAGCTCGACCTTCCCTCTGCGTCGATACTTGCTTTCTTCATCGGCCAGGCACGGGGATTCTGTGGCGACGTAGGACGGAGCCAGAAACGTTGACTTTTCACAAATACGCAAAGTTAGCAGGGAATGAAACCGACTGCCCAGAGATAAACCCACGGGTTCCCGTTGGACCGTTGGAATTTCCAGTCCCCTCGGCCGTCGAGAGGAAGAAGACGAAGATGACGATAGTAGGCAGAAGGAGAGTCCAACACGCGTTGGGGTTGGAAAAAACTAGATTTCGTTCAACGAAGGAATTCGATGAAATGGCAGATACCGATGGATGAAGGGTAAGACCGGGTTAAAGTCCACGCTACGGTGGGGAATTAGGAAATGGTGTAAAAATTTCTACGCGGAGATGCAGATAGAAAGTGTGTGTGTGAAAGAGAGAGAGAGAGATGTCGTTTGGACATCTGCGCTAACTTGTCAAACTTGGCATGTGAGATGGACAACCCCTACCTCGACTCAACTCATCGAGCCGGACATTCAAATGAAAAGGCCACGTGGGCGGTCAAAGATACCGCTAGATTTCCGCGAGGTCTGCTGCTCTCGAATGTCGGCCCATGAATCATCCCTCCCACCTTCCATTGGTCGTTTCCTCAAGCACAGGAAATATTTTCGACTTAATCGCTCTATAAAAAGGACCCGGGTAGTTTACTGTATGAGACAAGAAGCAAGAGAGAAAGAGAGAGAGAGAGAGAGAGAGAGAGGACACACGCGCCCAAAGGATAAACAATCAACCCCTCGTTCGTCTTCTTCGGGATCTTAGAGTCGTGGGAGGTGGCGATGGCAAGCCTGTTTGATCTGGAGAAGAACTTCGCCCTCTATGAGACTTATCACAGAAACCGCGTGAACAACTTCCTCCACGCCCTTCTCGTCTGGCCCATTTTCTTCGCCTCTCTCCTGCTCTTGTACTTCACCCCTCCCTTATTCCACGTCCCCGCCCCTCTCGGCCTTCCCGTAGTCCTAAACCTGGGCTTCGGCTTCGCCGCCGTCCATGCTCTCTTCTATCTGCGCCTTAATCGCTACGTTGGGTCCCTCGCGGCACTCCTCTGCGCTATCTGCTGGGTCGGCAGCAGCATCGTCGGCAGCCAGCT